AGCAAGCACATAAACCTTAAGCGGCAAAGAAAGGCATAGAAGCATATTTTATTACACGTGAAAACCTTATAGCGGTGTCGACACATAATTTCATTCCGTGCCGAGGACACACGCAGCAAGCCGGAAGGGTCCGCTCGATGGAGCAGATCCACCTAGCTTCAGCGCAAGGGTGGTCTACCCTACGCAATCCTCCCAAGACGTGCCAGTCAATTTGACCCTGCAATTGACAAGGAGAGAAAGCTTATCAGTAATTAAGGGTAGAACGTGCCGGTGTTGCCAGACAGTCCCGAATGTGCGGCTCTGAGAGCCGATATGAGAGGAGATCGACTAAATAGTCGATTCCAGCATATTCATAAGAATCAATCGGTTAAAGCTCCTGGGGTTGTGTAAGAAGAATCAGTTATCATCCAGGATAAATATAATTCAAGCAAAAATTAATCAATGGCAATGAGATATCAATGATGATCGGTTTAAACTAAGCCAATGATTACAAGTAACCGGACCCCTTTTTATATAAAGAAACAGTTCAACACTACTTAACCATTTAATAAAGATAAATCTAATGAACATGTTAGATCTTATCTATCGCCACAACTAGTGGGGCATGAGGCAGAATCATGTAGGCCGTAGAAACAATAATAGACTCGACGACCCTAACTCATTACTAATATCAGTGGGGCATGAGGCAGAATCATGCAGGCTGTAATACAATAACAAGATCATGGGGCTAACAATCTTTCAACCTATCTCTACTTCAATGGTCTCATAATGTGAACTATTCATGAAAGTACTCGATATCGGCTAAACAGTCGATTCAGGCATAGCGCACAGTTAAGGTCATGCCTTCTTAGGAACGGATCTACCAACTAACGATCCCCACTCCACGGTGCTAACAGTGGGGTGAGAGGCAGAATCCCATAGGCCGTGATAACAGGCCATGAAATGGTTCTCGCTAACCAATAGATCTACTCAAGATCCAACATGCCTTAACCGCACGCTATGCACGATTGAGATTGATATAAAACAGCCGATAAAACATAACTCATCATTTAAGGTGTAGATTAGATCAGTTTTAGATTAGCAAACGATGGGTTAAATAGGATATAAGGCTGATCCAGATCAATCTCAATCGGGCAGAGGGATATTGCTATAATTAGATAAATAATGAAAGCAATAAGCAATATCGGTAACTTAATGAATCTACCAAAGACTGCCATTCTAAGGTAGAGCCGATAACTTGACCTTGATCTAATTCAAGCAGTGGGGTGTGAGGCAGAATCACACAGGCCATACTTGAATTAGATAAGAGTCGATAACTAGCCTATACCAGAGTCGCAGTGGGGGTCGACCGGATCGATGCAGCCATATGAACAGAGGTATAAACCATGACGGTATTTACAGACAAGCAGTGGAGGTCGACCGGATCGATGTAGCCGTACTCGCTGAAGAACTCGCCGAGGTCTACTCTACTCCTACTCCTAAGGGGTGGCCAGAGCCAAAAAAAGTAAATTGACTTGTATTTGATTGATTGATTCTTTTTACAATAGCTGGGGTTTGATATTTATACCCGGAGTCTAAACAGGAATCCTACTCGAGCACGATTTGTTACAATCTTTGGTACAAAACGAAAACATTCCTAATTTAAGATAACTTGGACTCTAATCTTTCTCTTTTTGTAGAGTCCAACATGTCTTGCCCCAGCGCTGATCATAGCCTCTGTCGTTACCTGCTGGCGCTATCTGAAGAAAGCCGATTCTAGTGCTTCATCCGAACTAACTGGTTTTGATCTACACGCATTGGATCCCTTGCTGACATGATTCTAGGAGCTTTCGAGCCTCTGAAATCCTCTTTCCAAATTCTGGTGTAAACAAGCGGCAAGAAACACATATAAACATGTTTTAGTAGGCGCAAAAATCTATTCATTAAAATAATGTTAGCAACATTAATGCAAAAAATCACAGCTCTGGACGGGGAGTGAAAAAGGAAGCAATGTATAGAAACGTGTTCCAACATTAAACAGAAATGTGCTTCAACAATGTATAAATTATGTTCCAACAATGTACACAATTGTGTAGAAGTGTACAGATAACTGCTCCACAATGTATAGAATTGTGTGCAAACAATGTATATAATACATACCAAATTACAGTTTAGCCATGTAAAGAAACTTATGCACACAAGTATAGAACACAAAATCAACAAACAAAACGTTGGTAGCTCTTCATTGCACATCATATCAAGGAGATGCATATAAAATCAAACAAACGCCCGCCAGATTATATATGAATATACTAAAAACCATACAAACAATGTCTATGCATCCGAAAAATAAGATTTCAATTTCTATGCCTTCAAAAATTAAGATTTCAATTACATTCACATTATATCAAGGATAAGCACAAAACATCCACTTTAGAAGGCATAAAATAGTGTTAGGCAATCACATAATAATCCTTGGCCGCGTCGCACCACGCCATTCCCATTTTCCACACCACCAGCCGCCACTGCTGATTCACACCAGCGTCGCCGTCGTGGACTGCGTCATGCACCAGACGGCCACCGCTCGACCAAGCCACACACCAACAGAGATCCGGCTAGTCTTCCTGTCCTCGGGCATAGAAACATGTTTTAGGAGGCCCAAAAACCTTACAGCGGTAAGGCAAGAAACATGTTTTATTTATTAGACGCAGAAAACATTACAGCGGCTAGAAAGGCATAGAAACATGTTTTATCATGCGCAAAAACCTATTTGTGAAACTAATGTTAGCTACAATAATGCACAAATCACAACAACATAGCATATAAATCTAACTTATCAAGCATAGAAAGCTCATTAGAGGGAAAGCAGTTGAAATGTACATAGAAAATCCAAAATTCCACGAAAATAAATTGCATAGAATCCTTGGTTTCTTACATAGAAAGCATTTGAACTTTGAATCCTATGAGCATTGTGCATATGAGCATATAATTCACAACATGTGCAAAATGCACATAAGAATAGATATCGATGACTTCTTCTCGGAAATTTGAATTCAACTGGTGTTAAAACCTATGCAAAGTAAGCATAGAATCCTATGCAAACTAAGCATGAATAAAACCTATGCAAACGAAGCATAGAATCCTATGCAAACTAAGCATGAGTAAAACCTATGCAAACTAAGCATAGAATCCTATGCAAACTAAGCATGAATAATTTGAACAATCAAGAGCTGCAAGCACACAAATTGATGTGCCGTATTCCAAATATGCAAAAAAACAATCAAATTTCATAGTCAAAGACCGGATCTAAATGTGTAAAAACCTAACTCGTGAAGCATAGAACACATGGGGGGCCTGGGGAGCTGCAGCAGCAGGTGTAGGATCCTCCTTGCCTCTGGTCAACTGCAGTCGGCTGCAAGCACACTAACTGATATGTGCCGTGTTTCAAATCTACAAAAAAAAGCAATCAAATTTCATAGTCAAGAGTGAATCTGAATGTGTAAAAACCTAACTCGTGAAGCATAGAACACATGGGGAGCCTGGGGAGCTACAGCAGTAGGTGTAGGATCCCCCGTCTCTGGTCAGCTACAGGTGGGCGACGCTGCCGGTGTGGTGGATGTGTGCGCCACCAACGTGTGCGTGCAGGAGACCACCGCGTGGGGAGGGTCACGCCGTCGTCGTGTGGTGGGACGCCGGCCACCGAGATGGAGGGGGCCTCCACCGGTGGGAGGGAGAAGGCCTCCGCCGGATGCAGGGGGCCTCGCCATCACCGCCTGGTGGGGAAGGAGAAGGGGCGTCGCTGCTTGGGGCCGGGGCGCCATGGCTACCGGCGGTGGTTGGCCCACGCGTGGTCTGGCGCGCGCTGCCAAACGCCATCGTTTTGCGAGTCCGCCCGTCCTCCCCTTGGCGCACGCGCCTAGCCCCCGCGCCCGCGAGAGGCCCTACAGTAGAGCCGCGCCACTGCAAGTTCTAGGGCATCACCCTGGCCCTCCCCGTCCACTGCCGTGGACGTCCCCGCGTGCGCCTACGAGCTCTTGGGCGTCATCACCATCGATGTCGCAGTCCCTGCGCATCGGTGCTCTAGGTCCCAGAAGCGCGAGCTCCAAGAGGCGGTCGCGGCGCTCTAGGGGCGACAAGCCATGCTCTAGTCGGGGTACGCCGCGTAGCATGGGGTGGAGGAGAGGGGAGGCAGGCGCCTCCACGTCGTCAGACCCAGCCACACACCGGCTGGGGTACGTTGTTCGAAATTTGAAATTTGAAAAATAGCACATGATGGACAATCGGATTCATAGAATCAATGGTCAAGATACGCAGAAACATTTTTAGCACCGACATTGCATAGAAATTAGTAGTTTGATAAATAAAAATTAATTTTGTTACCACGTAAAACCTCTCCACAAGATGGACATTCCACTAGAGGATGATTATTTAATAGAGGAACAATGCTTAGAAACCCACGAAACCCTTCCCACTAGGGGGTTATTAGAACGAACATTGTAACGACCCCACCAACACTGTGCTTTCCTCTAGGTGGATGTTTATTTAATAGAGAAACAATGCATACAAACATATAAAACACTACCCACTAGGTTAGACTATCCATAATGGTCCCATCTCACATGCTTCCCACTGTTTTAGCAGGAGTAGAGAACTATTTTTGAAATTAATGTCAGCTACATGGATAGAAATGTCATCCAACAATGTATAGAAGTGTGTTCCAACATTAAATAAAAATGTGCTCCAACAATGTATAGAATTATGTTCTAGCAGTGTACACAATTGTGTAGAAATATACAGACAACTACTCCAACAATGTATAGAATTGTGTCCCAACAATATATAGAATTGCATACCAACAATGTATTAATTTGTGTTTTATATGTCAAAGTGGTCTAACAAAGCATAGAAGAGTGCTGCAACAATGTATAAATTTGTGTAGAAGTGCACGCATAACTGCTCCAACAATGTATAGAAATTTGTTGTAACATCAACTACATCAACTTTTTACATTAACCCATCAACTACATCAAGATCACCCTACGCCATCGCCGCAAGGCAAGGAAGTTGTGAACGTCGCAAGCCATGTCCTTTGTCTGAGCCACCGTCGCCCTCACACCAAATGGAGAGGAATTCATTCCAGCCATCCTACATCACAACAAAAGGCATAGAAACAAGTTTTAGTAGGCGCAAAAATCTTACAGCGGCAAGACCGGAATAGAAACATATTTTAGCAGGCGCCAAAACCTTACAACGGCAAAAGAAAGGCATACAAAAATGTTTTAACAGGCACATAAACCTTACGAGGGTAAGAAAGGCATAGAAACCTATTGGTAAAATTAATGTCAGCTACATTAATGCAAAAATCAAGACCAAAAAATCTAGAAAAAATTATGGATTGCTGGATGTGACCAACAGATCATACAATCAAAGTACATGAAAAGAAACTGCAAGAACCATCATTGATAATTGTATAGAAATTTGTAACAACAAAGTATAGAAATGTCATCCAATGATGTATATAAGTCTTCTAAGAATGCATGGATAACTGTTAATACAATGTATAGAAATGTGTTCCAACATTAAATATAAATGTGCTCCAACAATGTATAAAATTGCGTTCCAACAATGTATAAAATGTGCTCCAATAGTGTATAGAATTCTAGATGATTTCTTGCTTACACGGTTGGCTCAAGAAGCATAGAAATAAAAAAATCAAAGTACATGAAAACAAACTGTGAGAATCATTATTTATCTAGTTTTTTAGAAACCTGCACTGAATCATAATTGCTATGCATAGAAATTTATGTATGCAAGCACAGAAACAATTTGTCTCTAAATGGATGCGTCAATATTGCATAGAAAACCATGCTTGCTTGCATTGCTAGCTCTTCATTTGCCGCAACCCCATGTTCCTACAATGCTGCGACCAAATCGAATCAAAACATGGCATAGCAACTATGGCTTAAGAAGCATAAAAAATCCGAAGAAAAATAATTTTTTACTCACCTCCGTTGGCAGATCCGCGCACACCATGACCATGCTGGAGCCGGCTGGGGATGCGCCGCCGCCAGAGGCCGCCATGCCAGCATGTCAGGATGGGGAACAGTTGCCGCGGGGAGGGCGCCGTTGCCGGATATGCGGGATGGGGCCCGTGGTCGGTGAGGAAGAGGCACCGCTGCCGCTGCCGGAGATGTTGGGGAAGGGGTTAGGGTCTTGGCGCTCGTGGCCTGGGAGGGCTTGAAGCCGCAGCACTGCCGCATCACCATTGAAGACGTGTGTGAAGCATAGAAATTTATCAAATGAGAAGCATAAAAAATCAATTTCTGACCGAGGCGTGTGCGACGTCGTCTCGCGCTTCTCGGCTGCCTGCTCCTTCGCCAATTGTGTACCACCAATGTATAAAATACATACCATACCAAGTTACAGTTTAACCATGCATATACAAGAATAGGAACACAAGATCAACAAAATCAACAAACAAAACGTTGGTAGCTCTTCATTATACATCATATCAAGGAGATGCATAGAAAATCAAAATCATGCGCACAGAAATCCTGCTTGCATGCGTTGGTAGCTCTTCATTTCCTGCAAACCACCTATTCATACAAGGCATAAAAAAGTTTCAATCAAAATTTGATAGAAAATTCATTGCACATCCATATCTGCATGTACATGGCCACCAGGAGATACTCAGCAATCAGCGACGCCGCATCACCTGCAGCCAGCAATAATGTATAAAAATATGCTCCGATAATACATAGAAATTTGTTTCAACAATGTATAAAAAGAAGCATGAATAACTGATGATACGCAGGGAAAGATTGCTGCAAGACGATGGCCTCCTTGGGTTGGACGCAACGCCTTGCTGCAGCGGGCAATCGAAAGGAAAATATTTTTTTACAAGCTATTACTGTTCAAGAGACAGACACAGAACAAATCGAAAAAAAGAAGCTTCATGGCACCTGCTAGTCACTCGATCTGGAGAAGCTTCACGGCAATGAGCACCTGCACCTGCAGCTTCACAGCAACAGAGGAATTCCCAGCACGGGATCTGCATCAAGCAGCTCAGTGCCCCTCCGCCGGTGGTGTGGAGGCCACTATGACCGATGGGGTCGGGCCGTCGGGGTGGAGGCCAGGAGAGGGGCGCGCCGGTGAGGAGAGGGCTGCCGCTGCGGAAGTTGCCTCGTCCGCCACTGGATCTGCAACTGCCGTCGCGGCTAGGAGAATGCGCGCCGTCGCAGGTGGTCTGGGGGCCGCCGCCACCGCAGGGGAGGTGAAGCGGAAGCCTCCGCTGTCACCCGAGCAGCCCTTGGCCGGAGACTCGCGTGGACGCCCGCCGTATCTACTCGCCTCTATGTGGGTAGGCAAGTCCGAGCTCGCCGCCAACGAAGCCGAAGCGGCGCTCCGCCACCTCCTCGTCGAGGTCGAGTGATGCCGGCCCTGGATCCGTGGCGGCCTCGCTCCTCGCCGCAAAGCGCCGCCTCTCCGGCAGCCTGGTCCAAGACGCGCCTGCTCGCCGCCGCCGCTTGGGGCCGGGACCTCGCGGCCCTCTGCCATGCGGCATCGAGCGCCACCGGCGGCCGCACCTCCACGAGCGGGACCCGTTGGCCCACGCACGGCCGGGCGCGCGCTGCTAGTCGCCGCTGGCTGGCGAGTCCGCCCCGGCCCTCCCCTTGGCCCGCCGCCATCGCACCCGGGAGAGGGTTGGGGCTGCCGCCGCCGGCGAGCTAGAAGGGCAGAGAGCGCCCGGACTCACCGACGGTTGAATCCCGGATGGAGATTTTTTTTTTTTTTTTTTATCGGAGGAGACGCAGGAGAGGGGATTTTGAAATGGCACGGAGAGAAGGCTGACGTGGGATGGGTGGTGAGTCGTGGGTGGGAACATCCCACCTGGTTGGATTCAACCATATCGACGCTGACGTGGGATGGACGGGGTACACTCACCTGTCTGGGTTCGACCACGTGTGAAGATTTGGACTGGGGCTTCCACTGAGGCCCCGTTTGGCAGGGCTTCTCCAGCGGCTTCAGTAGCCGTTTGGAGCCGTTTTCTGGCAAACAGCGTAAAATGAAACGGCTGCACCGATGAAGCCCTTAAAAACGTGCTCTCACAGAGCTTTGGGGTGGGAAGGAGCCAAAAATAGTGGCTTCTCCCGGCTCCTCCTCCAGGCCCCTAAAAACATGCTCTCACAGGGAAGCCATTTTGCCAAACGGTTTACCAAAACCACTTCAGCTCCACCGGTGGAGCTGTTCGTGGAGCTGAAGCAAAAAAAATGGCTTCACTAATGAAGTGAAGCCCTGCCAAATGGAGCCTAATTATTAGAAGCTTTTTTTATCGGAGTAACTATAAAAAAACGAAAGAGATTAGATTAGATATGTGAATGCATATATGCGTCAGGTTTGTCAGGTTGTATCAACTGGCTCGCGCGGGAGGTTTTATGCGGTAACGAATTAATTTTAAATCATCTAAATATTGATTTCTATGTAACGTCATGATAAAAACTTTTCTGCGTAGCTTGATACGGGATTTTATGCATCCAAATCAGCTGGGTCCATAGGGTCCCCCACCTGCGCGCGTGCATCAGCTGAGCGGGCCTGGATGGTTGGGCTAGGTGGGGCTCTACATTAGCTATTTGAAGTCCGCGGCTTCCAATAGCGAGTATATATATATATATGACGAGGCTAAATTGCACATTGGTGCATTCTATATAGCAAATGCACCCAGCCGCGAGACGTGCGGAGCGCGACGAGCGTGAGCCGTACCGACGCGGAGTCCGACCCGGTTGACCCGCATGCCTGTATATCCCGAGACTCCGCGCGCCTGTACAGGCCTCGGGCGCTGACCCTCAGCCGCAACTCATCCCTTCAACCGATTGCAACTTCCGTCGTACATAAATTACAACATTGGTGGTAAGCCAGTTGCATTCCGGTTGGGTAGACCAGTTGCAAATGCCTGAACGGCTGGTTGCAGCTCCGTTTGTATACCAGTTCCAACTCAGCGCGTCAGCCGATTGCATCTTCAGTCGTACACAAATTGCAACTCATCCCTTCAACCGATTGTAACTTCCGTCGTACACAAATTGCAACCTTGGTGGTAGGCCAGTTGCATTCCGGTTGGGTCGGCCAGTTGCAACTGCCCTGGACGGCTGGTTGCAGCTCCGTTTGTATACAAGTTCCAACTCAGCCCGTCAGCCGATTGCATCTTCAGTCGTACATAAATTACAACTCATCCCTTCAATCGATTGCAACTTTCGTCGTACACAAATTGCAACTCGTTCGCACGCTCGCTGTGTGCCTGCCTCGCTGCCTGGTGGGGCGGTATTAGCATGGGAGAGGATAGAGGTGTGTGGCCCACGTCTGATTAGTGGGTTAGTTGGGCCGGTTGCCCAGACAAGGCACGCCGGTTGCCCTGGGTGCATTGCACCCAGGTGTATATACTGTTTTGCTATAATACACCTGGGTGCATCGTGTATATAGAATGCACCCAGGCCGATGGGCGCACCAACTTGGAGCAACCAGCGCGCCCAAGCGAATACAAGCATGCATGGAATTTTTTGTTGTTCGAATCTTTGAAACAAATTTTCTCCTAAATTGTAAGCTCGAGTGACAAACCGTTTATTGCATCCGACTCAAAAAAATATTCTGAGCAAAACTAGATCCAATATGGATATATTTTTTATCCTTTAAAACGATTTGCATGTCAATGTACTACCGATTGCAACTCTGTCTACCACCTAGTTGCAACTACTAGATTATAATTAGTTGCAACCAGTGCTAATTACGCTACAGCCAAGTTGCAATTGTGTTGTAGAAGTGCTTGTAACTCATAGTACAACATATTACAATTACGTATTTGAAAAAAAACTTCATCAAATATAGCCTTTATTGCAACCAGTGTTAAATACGCTACAACCAAGTTGCAACTGTATTGTAGAAGTACTTGCAACTCATAGTACAACATATTGCAATTACGTATTTGAAAAAAAAACTTCATCAAATACAGCTTTCATTGCAACCAGTGCTAAATACACTACAACCAAGTTGCAATTGTGTTGTAGAAGTGCTAACAACTCATAGTACAACATATTGCAATTATGTATTTGAAAAAAAAACTTCATCAAATACAGCCTTCATTGCAACCAATGCTAAATACGCTACAACCAAGTTGTAATTGTGTTGTAGAAGTGCTTATAACTCATAGTACAACATATTGCAATTACATATTTGAAAAAAAACTTCATCAAATACAGTCTTCATTGCAACCAGTGCTAAATACGATACAGCCAAGTTACAATTGTGTTGTACAAGTGCTTGCAACTCATAGGACAACATATTGCAATTACGTATTTGAAAAAAAACTTCATCAAATACAGCCTTCATTGCAACCAGTGCTAAATACACTACAGCAAAGTTGCAATTGTGTTGTAGAAGTGCTTGTAACCCATAGTACAACATATTGCAATTACGTATTTGAAAAAAAAAATTCATCAAATACAGTCGCATATTTTTTTCAACAACCTACTCCAAACAAAACTAAAATTGGATATATGGTTTAGAAGATATCGTATTTTTTTTGTTTGGAATCAACAAAAGATTCCCTGCATGCAAGAGCGTGTTAGGTGGCATCATGTAAGAACGGCTGGCTGGTTGTTTGCATGAAGGAGCGTGGACTTACCTCATGCTCGCCGCTCGCCGCGCACCGCGCGGCTCGCCGCTCATGTGTCGGGTGCACTCGCTTCACAGAATGCACCAGGTGCAGTTTAGCCTCGTCCTATATATATATACACACACACAAGTTGTTTTTTATGTGTACGAACAAATATAACAAATTGTTTTTAATGCATTTATATATACATTTATAAAAAATATGCAGAACTAATATTTAAAAAAATACGAAAATATTTGTAGGGGCGACTAGTGAATGAGCCGCCCCTACAAATTGACCCATTTGTAGGGGCGGCTCGTATCACCAGGCATCCCTACTGTGCCATTTGTAGGGGTGGCCGGTCTCGTGGGTCCCGAACACGTCCACTGTAGGGTCGGCTCCATCCCCAGCCGTCCCTACAAAAAAATTGAGCCGTTCCTACAAATGTTTTGTGTAGTAGTGAGGTCAGATCCGGCGGGGGCATCGCGGCGGTGCTCGCTAGCGCCCATGGCCATGGCGGCGGTGAGAGGGGGGAGGGGAAGTTAGGCGTGGGGGAGAAAAGGGCAGAGAGGATGAGGGCGTCTAGACGCGGGGGCGAGGGAGCTGCATCGGGCGTGAGCGTGGGAGGACGGGATGGGCGGGGAGAAAACGAGTAGGAGCAGGTAGTGGCATCCGGACGCAGCGTCCGTTCTGACATCTGGGCGCTAGCATTCCCATTTTTCTATTCATAGATTACATACAAAGCTATAATTCATTACTACCAACAATTTTTGCCGGTAGTCGTGAGTAATAATCCAAATTTCTATCTGATTTTTAGTCCATTATGCTAATATGAAAACATGAAGCCAAGGAGAGCTCACGTAGATATATAGTCAACTACAACAGAGGCAGGTGATTCACTGGGTGGTGATCGTACATGACAATAAGATAGCTTACGCGGGTACATGCTTGGTAGTTTTGGTCACTAACAAGTCGTAGTGCTCCACAAGATCTAAAAATTTCTAGTTCAATCTTCTTTGAAATTGTTTAGGGGCCAAATTATTCAATACATGATTGTATACTACACTAGTAAAGGGCGCGGGCCCTCGTGCGCGAGGGCAAAGGATCACAGCTCGTTTTAGCCATGGATGCATGCCTGATACGGTACAGGTGGATGGTATTTATATAGATTAGATACATTGATGCATGGGTATTTACAATGCGTGCAAAGTACGTAGGTTGCTGGTCATTTACATAGTTAAGGTACGATAACTGCTGGATATGTATATATATTACATAGGTCTGGGCAGATGCTAGCGATATGTATAATATTCATATGTTACATAAGTATGGGCCGATGTTAGAGGCAGCGGTGTTTTAGCAGGTGGCATAGGTGGGTGTGGTCGTCCATTGTCGATGGCTGGAACTGCATGGGAGGAGGTCATGTGCAATAGGTGGAGGAACCTGGTGAGAAAATGGAATTTTGTTAGGTTAATGAGTTGAAGAGAAGAATGTTCTTGGTTTGTGGGATTCTGGAGTCTGACCTTTGTTTGGGCACATGATTATGGTGACCATGACTCTGAGCTTGATGATGCTGCAGCTGTAGCAAGAAATTATTAGACGCAAGGAAGTAGAAAGAAGCATTATGTTGATTTTATATGTATACTGGAAGCACTGTTGGTCCAAATTGAAAGGTTGGGCTGATAAACATATCAGGATTACTGCTCCAGCGCTGCAAGTACAAATACTGAAAATTAGCAGGAGACAGTTCATGTGCTTTCAATTTGGACTATGTAAACCACCAACCAACA